CGATTTCCTCTCCTTTCCCATTCTATATTAAAGAAATAGAATGGTTTAGACAAATGTTGACTTGTTTTTAAAGCAAAATGAATTCTTTTCTTTTTGATATTTTGCTTGAGGACATTTTGAATACCTTCAATCCTTTTCCCATCGGAAAGGCTGAAGTACTTTATCTGAGAAACATCTCAGCTGGAAAATTTATCAAGAAATCCAGGCTAAATAAAGAAAAACTAAGAGATCCACTACCACATACATGGGGTTAAAATAGTTTCTTATGCATTTAACTTAGCTTTCCAAAGTAGCGTATTGTTAATTATTTTGCTAATTATAAGATGTTCTCAAGCCACAAACATTGTCCCCACAAACATGTTCTTTTTTCCTTTCTCAATTGCTTACTTAGTCTCCAACCCCAATCCTATCCTCTATGGCAGGGCTTTTCAACCAGTGGTACAGGTACCACCTGTGGTACATTGGCACCTGGCAGGTGGTACGTGACCATCCTAGAAAAGTGGTAGCGGGGGGAGGGGAATGAGCTGAACCGGTGGCAGCACAAGCCTGATCGAGAGATGGCTGGAGCTGCAGGGCTGTCAGGGCTCAGCAGAAGCGCCAGGATCAGCACCAGGCTCCAGCTGGAGCTCGGCGCTGATCCTTGTGCTTCTGCTGAGCCCTGAAGAAGCACCAATCAGCTGGAAAGCAGCACTGCTCCTGGCACTTCTGCTGAGCCCAGAAGAAGCACCGATGAGCTGGCATGTTGCAGCATCTCCAGGGTCTTGTGATTTACATTCAGATGCTTGGCAACTGATTCATATTTATGACGGTCACAGTGTCCCAGGGTCATGTGAAGTGACCAAAACCTGCTGCAACCACCCAGCAGACGGGGGGAATAAAAACCAAACATCCCCCATCCCATTCCCACTGCCAATCCTCAACAGAAATGCTCACAATGAAAACCTCGGAGGTGTCTTGCTCGGCTGTGGCTTGGGGGGCACTTTTTTCGGTGCCATTGTAACTTTGAACAGTCACTACGCGAACTCTTGTAAGTCGAAGACTACCTGTATTTTATTGCTTTTTTTCCTTTATTTTTTTTTTGGTCAAGTTTTTGACACCTTGCTAGGCGACTGGTGGTACTCGGATGTTGTTATATCCTAAAAGTGGCACAATGGATGAAAAGGTTGAAAAGCCCTGCTCTATGGAAATAAATATATTGCAGGGGGAAAATAGCAGATGTATTTGTCACAAGAGTATCATTCTATATAATGGTATATTAACTACACTATTTCTTTCTCTCTCTTTTTTCCTTGTGCCTCCTACAGAAGTAAAGGAAACAAGCATATAGTCTTCTACCCAACTTTGAAGGTATACTTATCTAATTTTAATGGAGTGGGTGCATCATAACTAAGAACTGGAGAGAATTTAGTTTGCATTTTGGTAACATTTTATCCACTGCACTTCTAAATTCTCATTATTTTGTGATGCAGCTCTCGGAGCATAAAATGCATATGACGGGAAACGTATATACAGAAATATGTATGGTTGAAAACTTTTTAAAAAGTATAATCAGTCCGTGTGGAATTGGAACAGAACAAACTTAAGAGGAAAAAAAATAAACAGGAAGATGCCAAAACTGACAGATGTATGCATCTCTATTCAAAACATGAAGCTATTTTACTCATGCTCCAAGGCCAGTATGTTTATTAGTAAAATAGAGTAGCTACATTCCCTCTGTCGAGGAATAAATTGTCAGATTATTAACTGGCAATTTATAGAAGTTGTAGCTCTGCCGCAGATTCCTTCCCACAGACCGGTACGCTCCCACAGAGTGGGTCTCCTCAGGGTGCCGTCGGCCAAGCAGTGTCGGCTGGCGACCCCCAGGGGGAGGGCCTTCTCTGTGGGTGCCCCTACCCTCTGGAATGAACTACCCCCCGAGATCCGGATAATTCCGGATCTCCTTACCTTCCGTCGCGCCCTCAAGACANCCCAAGCTAATTTGTGTCTATCCCGGGTCTATGAATTTACAGGCTAAGTGATAATAGACATACTTATGCAAGGCAAGATAAAGTGTTTATCATTGAGTCATCTCAAGTTCAGATTCTGGAAAATCTAGGATGACTGGCCCAGATTAAGAAATTCTTGTCAACATCATAGTAAGCTGTCAATGAGCTTTGCTACTGTCTCTTTTTCATTGGAGGCAATTCCTTAATGTATGTGTGAAGATGGGAAACAGTTTTTTTCTTCAGTGTAACCCTCCCTCCCTAAAGACATTGATCTGTGCTCTGGAGTCTGATAAGTAGATTGCAGAGGTGGCAGAGGCTGAATAAGGCATATATCTTTAATCTGTTCTTTCCTTGAAACAGCAGAAGGAAGTGGTTTCAAGAGTAATGTCAGAAACAGAAACATGGCTTGCTTTCAAGTAAAAGATGGGTTTCCTTCTATAATCTCAATCCTAGATAGATAGATAGATAGATAGATAGATAGATAGATAGATAGATAGATAGATAGATAGATAGATAGATAGATAGATAGATAGATAGATAGATAGATTTAATTATGGAGTGAAGACAGTCAATTCAAGATTTACAGTATTCTTATTGTGATAAGCATGGTATAAATTTGTTACATGTTCTGTTAAATTGACCATGTTGTACAAAACACTACTTCATTTGTATTCTATGGAAACCTGTGATATTGGCTTTATAGAATTCCAGTAATTTACTTTTTTTTCTTTCATTTTGTTTGTTTTCTTTACTTGTATGCTACTGATTCAGCAAACAGTTCTAGGCATCTTACAACAAAGTGAACACCTTAAAGGAGAGCGTAAATACATAACATAAACTAATAACATTCCTGATCATTCACTCATTAATTCTTTAATTGCCAGCAGTCTTTTCATCTTCTTTTGGAAAGCTCTTCATTCATAGCATCAGTTGAAATTTCGGAAGAGCGAAGCTGATTATTATTTGATGGAAATCAGTTTACTTTCTTTAGAATGGAAAGAGAAGTTTAGTAAAATATACAGTTAAAGTTGATTGCTCTGAATGTAATTACAAGTAGAAAATTTCTGCTGTGCAGTATCTTATGTTGATTGTACGGATGATTAGAGGAAGTGAATAAAAAGTAGTTCATGTAAAAACGAGGAGAGATCTGCAGATTTGCTCAGTCTGGATAACCAGAACTTTTGCTCCTCAATAACAAAACGATTTCTCTGAATTTTTTTCTCTATGGGTGGTGATGCCTTGAAATGGTACATGAAAACAAAATCTGAGCTTGAAAGTTCAAAGATTAGAAAAAATAACAACAACAAAAGACTAGGTGGAGGATTCCTCCCCATTTGCCCAGTACTGTGTGTCGTTCCTCTGAAGAGAAGGGTTGAGTTTGCAATGCAAAAACAATTTGGAACAAGAAGCAGTATTAGCTGTGCACTTCTAGAACTCTTCTAGCACCTTGAATGTGGACAGCTTAATGATGAATCTCAGCCTCATCCTTCAGCTCAAGAGAGGAAAGTCCACAGTTTAATGTCTGTGGAGATTCTCAGTCATCCAGGTTATAGTTGTCTCAAAGGTGCTTTTTTCTTCAAAAGGCAACCGGTGTCTTCTAGGAGAAGCAAAACATTTTATTATAATAATAATAATAATAACAACAACAACAACAACAACAACAACAACAATAATAATAATAATAATAATAATAATAATAATAATAAAGTTGGAAGGGACCTTGGAGGTCATCGAGTCCAACCCCCTGCTCAGGCAGGAACCCTACACTATTTCAGACAAATGGCTGTCCAGTCTCTTCTTAAAAACTTCCAGTGTTGGAGCATTCACCGCTTCTGGAGGCAGGTTGTTCCATTAGGAAGTTTCTCCTTAGTTCTAGGTTGCTTCTCTCCTTGATCAGTTTCCATCCGTTGCTTCTCGTCCTGCCTTCAGGCGCCTTGGAAAATAGCTTGACTCCCTCTTCTTCTCAAGGAAAAAGCAGCCCAGTTGCCTTTTGAAGAAAAAAAAAGAGCACTTTTGTGACAAAGTCACCACTTGTGTCAGAGCTTTGGATAACCAGCTCAAGCTTTCCTCCTAGCTCTGAGTTTGAAGGACTGGAATGGGATCACCCCTATAGTTGAATTTCACTGCCAAGGATGCTTTGACCATTAGGTAGCCCCAGATACGAACAGTGCACTATATTTTCTTGGCGTTTCCTAGCTTACCTAGAACCCCTTACAGAGATATATTTTTAGAGTAAGGTTTTTAATTCATTCATTAAACTCCACAATTTCTCAAAACATCACTTCTTGAACCAAGAGTATTGTGAATCTTCAGCTTCCCAAAGAGAGGATAGAAAAAAAGAAAGCTGTAACAGTTCAAACAAAGGCGAATGTGAAAATTAATAATGATAAATTTTGTCGTAAGCAAATGCTATTGACCTTCAGAGAATATTTGCTGACATTTTAATACTATAGAGGGCAGAGTATAAAGGCCATCCACTTTGAAGAACATCATGGAATTAAAAAGAAAGAAGAGATCATTCATTAGGTTTTATTACAGCTAGACAGTGTGAGCATAAGGTAGCAATTTATAACGATCTTAGATAAACATATTACCCAGTGTTGAACTAAAACCACAGGATTATGGAAATAGCTCAAACACTGCAATGCTTTTTCATTTAGTAATAAAAAAGCTAAAATGGGACTATGAAAAGGACAAATAAAAAGGATTTGCAGAAATAGAGGATATTTAATGAAAGGAGAAGTAAATACCAAAATGTTTTCCATGCTACAGAGAGGTGTTTTTTTTTTTTTACAATCAGAGTAATATTTTTTTAAAAAAATAATAAATTATTCCTGAGTTGATTGGAATGTGCAGCCATGTGGTAGCGCTAATGCAATGGAACAGCATGCATTATATACAATATTGCGTGCTGTAAGATTTTATCCAGTATTAAATAACTATACAAATTCTAGCAGGAAAATCTTGGAATTCTAAAATGTTCATCCTTTTTTTTTTTTTTGCAAAATCATTTTTAGATATATTGAAATATTAAAAGAGCACAAACCTAAACTCGTCTGGACTGAAAAAATTGCTGAACACTACTTGGAATATAAAAAGTGAGTTACTATTATTTATTGTTTATTAAATTCAATAAATGCAAAACTGCTGTTGAACAAACTAAATTCATGGAGGAATGATCTTTTGATTGAAGGTAGAGAAATAAAACATCTTGTTTACTTTTAAAAGTTTCAAATAATACAAAAACACTGGTTTTTAAGAAATTGGATAAATAGCAGAACCTTTACCAGTAAGATGTTAAGTATGTGTTGATCATGTAACAAAACAATAAGATGGTTTTATTGTAGATGAAGGTACTAACACTTGTTTATATTAATCCAAATCCATTATTATATGTGGCTGTATTTGTTTGTGTGAGCTGGATGTTAAGACATTTAATAACTCTTTTTGTTGACAACTGGGTTTAAAACTTTCTTTAAGCTATATTAAGATATATTGCTTTATTCTCATTTTATTTTACGAGAAAAGAGAACTAAACTCAAACCTATTTTTCAAGGAAAAAACCTCAGTCCAGAATGGTTTCTTGATCCAGATCTGAAACTGGTTTCTTGATCCAGATCTGAAACTGGTTTCTTGATCCAGATCTGAAACTTTAGGGCATCCTAAAGGGATAACCAGGCACCAGGTTTTTCTTTTTGTTTTATGCTTTTATGGCTTCTCATCTTATAGTTACTGGATTTTATTGTTGTTGTGAGCCACCCCAGAGTTGTGCTTAAGAGGGGTGGTCAAATAAATAAATCTGATGTCATTTCCCTGCTGAAATACATTATTTTCTTCATTGCCATTTGGCCCCAACATGAGATTTTGGGAACAAATTGTAGGCTGGCCCTATGTTAAAGGTCTAAGAGCCAAAAAAATCAATGTTGAGCAGTGCTCTGGAATATGAGGATTGACTTTTTCAGAAAACTTTGCATTCCATACCCATCCTTCTTGGATGGTTGCAAGTGGCGATTTCCTCTCCTTTCCCATTCTATATTAAACAAATAGAATGATTTAGACAAATGTTGACTTGTTTTTAAAGCAAAACGAATTCTTTTCTTTTTGATATTTTGCTTGAGGAAGTTTTGAATACCTTCAATTCTTTTCCCATCGGAAAGGCTGAAGTACTTTATCTGAGAAACATCTCAGCTGGAAAATTTATCAAGAAATCCAGGCTAAGTAAAGAAAAACTAAGAGATCCACTACCACATACATGGGGTTAAAATAGTTTCTTATGCATTTAACTTAGCTTTCCAAAGTAGCGTATTGTTAATTATTTTGCTAATTATAAGATGTTCTCAAGCCACAAACGTTGTCCCCACAAACATGTTCTTTTTTCCTTTCTCAGTTGCTTACTTAGTCTCCAACCCCAATCCTATCCTCTATGGCAGGGCTTTTCAACCAGTGGTACAGGTACCACCTGTGGTACATTGGCACCTGGCAGGTGGTACGTGACCATCCTAGAAAAGTGGTAGCGGGGGGAGGGGAATGAGCTGAACCAGTGGCAGCACAAGCCTGATCGAGAGATGGCTGGAGCTGCAGGGCTGTCAGGGCTCAGCAGAAGCGCCAGGATCAGCACCAGGCTCCAGCTGGAGCTCAGCGCTGATCCTGGTGCTTCTGCTGAGCCCTGAAGAAGCACCAATCAGCTGGAAAGCAGCACTGATCCTGGCACTTCTGCTGAGCCCAGAAGAAGCACCGATGAGCTGGCATGTTGCAGCATCTCCAGGGTCTTGTGATTTACATTCAGATGCTTGGCAACTGATTCATATTTATGACGGTCACAGTGTCCCAGGGTCATGTGAAGTGACCAAAACCTGCTGCAACCACCCAGCAGACGGGGGGAATAAAAACCAAACATCCCCCATCCCATTCCCACTGCCAATCCTCAACAGAAATGCTTACAATGAAAACCTCGGAGGTGTCTTGCTCGGCTGTGGCTTGGGGGGCACTTTTTTCAGTGCCATTGTAACTTTGAACAGTCACTAAGCGAACTCTTGTAAGTCGAGGACTACCTGTATTTTATCGCTTTTTTTCCTTTTTTTTTTTTTGGTCAAGTTTTTGACACCTTGCTAGGCGACTGGTGGTACTCGGATGTTGTTATATCCTAAAAGTGGCACAATGGATGAAAAGGTTGAAAAGCCCTGCTCTATGGAAATAAATATATTGCAGGGGGAAAATAGCAGATGTATTTGTCACAAGAGTATCATTCTATATAATGGTATATCAACTACACTATTTCTTTCTCTCTCTTTTTTCCTTGTGCCTCCTACAGAAGTAAAGGAAACAAGCATATAGTCTTCTACCCAACTTTGAAGGTATACTTATCTAATTTTAATGGAGTGGGTGCATCATAACTAAGAACTGGAGAGAATTTAGTTTGCATTTTGATAACATTTTATTCACTGCACTTCTAAATTCTCATTATTTTGTGATGCAGCTCTCGGAGCATAAAATGCATATGACGGGAAACGTATATACAGAAATATGTATGGTTGAAAACTTTTTAAAAAGTATAATCAGTCCGTGTGGAATTGGAACAGAACAAACTTAAGAGGAAAAAAAATAAACAGGAAGATGCCAAAACTGACAGATGTATGCATCTCTATTCAAAACATGAAGCTATTTTACTCATGCTCCAAGGCCAGTATGTTTATTAGTAAAATAGAGTAGCTACATTCCCTCTGTCGAGGAATAAATTGTCAGATTATTAACTGGCAATTTATAGAAGTTGTAGCTCATTTAATGGGTTGTACTGATAATAAATGAAAGCTGTTTATGATATGTGATTTTTTTTTTTGTTTCTGTGAACCTCTCCCCCCAAATCATCAATCAATTTCTAAAGAGTAGATTCAGCAAAATTAATAATCCATAATGTTTCTCTTGTGTTTTGCAGTCCATTCAACTGCGGTTAGAACTTGCAAAGCAACTGGGCACAGGAATCGCTATCTGGGAATTGGGCCAAGGCTTGGATTATTTTTATGATTTGCTTTAAAAAAATGCTCTTTTCTTCACTGACCTTTCATGTTCAGTCAAATGAAGGGGGACGATGTGGGCAGGACATTTATTTGGGGGGAGGCAGCTATATAATTTATATGGAACCTGCTTCAGATTTTCCAATAAAGGATATCTTTGGAGGTATCGCCTTTCTTTTACTGCATGTAAGTGAATAATTTTAAAGCAGAGAGAGACACCAGTACTGGTGTGCTGGAAACCTAACTACAACGAAAGTAGGTAAGACACGTTTATTTTTCCATTTTTTAATGCTTAAAGCCATGAAGAAAATCTATCTGCATGGTCAATAGGAGTCAAAAACGATGGTACATAACCATCATCATCAACATGCTTAAAGGTAATTCACAGTGCAGTGCTTGTGTTCCAATCTTGTAGAATCTTAAGAGTTCAGTAGAATTGACCCACAAGCACACATCAGGTTGTAACAATTAATTATTAGGTGCCCTGAAGTAGACTGTGTCTCGGGCAGTTTAAATATACTTGAGCCTAAAATAAACTAAGCAATTTTGGGTTTAATTAGGCTGCTCATTGCTAATTACAGTCAGTGTCAAATAAGAGTGAATTTAAGCCAAGTCCTGGGAATGCAGGTTCTGCCTATACTGCCAAGTGTACGTGGGTTTTATGCTATTTTAATGGTCTGGATTTCCCCCACCATAACCCTAGAATGATAGTTTAGTGAAGTGCTGAGGGTTCTTCTTTTAAAGATTCCTATTGCATCCTGATCCACACAACTATAATATCCTGGGAAATGTGAACAGTTGCTGATCTATGAAATCCATATTTTCAGAGTTTCATTCAACCAAACTGCTCTGGAGGCTGCCAGGTTGGGTAAGTTATTGTAAATTGCTTAAGTGCTGCTCCTGGAACTTCTTCCTCTGTGATTGTAGAAATGCCTCTAGCGGCACACAACTTTTCTCTTTTAGCGGGAGAAGTTCCAGAGATAGCATTTCTCTGGATTTGAATGGATCATCAGAGACCGAAGTCTTGTAACACTAGAATTTATTTACTCACATACATTTGTACCAGCTTATTCATTGTCTTACATATAATCTTTTTGAGAAATCTCATGTACTTCTCTTGCCCGGTTCCTGCATAGCCGTTTTCCTTTTGTGGGACTTTCTGCGTAGCATGTTACTCAGCTCCTGATAGGCCAAATATCTTATTTCTCTGCTACTGCTAGATGCAAATTATTACCATTCATATGTCTGTGTAGCTAATTCCAGACCTTGAGACCAAGAGGGCTTCTGAACTAGACTTGATTTCCATAGGATGGTTGAACAAGCAAAGCCCCCCACCTTTGTATCAGCTGTACTTGGGAAATCTCCAGAATTGCTGAAGCTCATCTTATAGTTCTTACTAAGTTATTGAGGCCTCTGTTTGTTCCTGGCTTTGCTGTTGTCAGTTGGCCTTCATTCTTAACTGCAAGCTGCTGGAGCCTCAAATTCATTTTGGTAGAGGATGGTTTCTATATTTTGGCTCTGGGCTGCCAGCTTGCAGTTTATCTCTAAGCGAGTACAATTACAGTGTTCATGCTGGAAATGTGCCCTGTTTTCTTGAGCAATAAGACAGTTACTTAGGTTTGGCACAGCAGTTACTTAGGTTTGGCTTCCTTGAAGGAAGAGATCACTGGAGACTTAAGGTAAATTACCTGGATTAAGATAGAAGGGATCACGT